GGCCATTGGTATAGAAACCTCAACCTGCCAAATGCAATGCTGAAGATGAACAGCATGGCTGGATTGGAGGGAATGGCATACGCAGAAACAGAGCGGATTGAGCCAAATAGCCAAACACTTTTTTGAAAATAATTTTGAAATTAAACGGATGATTTATGTTGCAATAATTAAATTCTGAGTAAACGAACACGAAGAGCCTTTTCAAGTTGAATGACTTGAACAAAAGTAATTATAATGCATGTATGTGAAGACATTCTGGACTCCATTGTTTGTCCACGTTGTTTATTAACCTCTCTAACTGAGCAGTGAAAGCGAAGATAACAATCTGGCTTCTTGAACTTGGTGTACCAGCTTCTTCCCGACAGCAGCTTTGTCTTTGTGACTGCCATTGTTAAGGAAGTGAAATAGTGCACGACTAATATCTCCGTGACCCCGACTGGAATGCAGAAACACTATCAATTGCCGGGGGAGAAAACACAGGGTGAAATGTATCAGGTGCACTCCGGAGATTCTGGTTGATTTCTCGATGAACTTGGCCCCGTGTTTTCCCAGTGCGACCTGAGGCCAAGCCTTCACAAAAGCCAGCGTCGCCGCGCGCTGGAATGGCGGCAGGGACGGAAACGACCTGTGTTTGAGCTTGGTGCAATGCAAACACAGACAGTGCACGGGTCATTGTGTGGGACCGAGAGGAGAACCAAGGACCCGCTCGCACTGCAAACACTCCCAGCTGTTCAGAGGGACTGTGTGTGTGTGTGTGTGTGTGTGCGCGCACATCTCCATGCACTTTTGCCCGTCCATAGCTGCGGTCAGATACAAATATGGAGCCACACCTTATGTCAATGCACTCTGTTTAACTTTGCCAGGTATGTAAACTCCAACGCCAAAGCATGCATTTGATGTATCCGCAAAGTTTAGCCAAAAGGGGAGGAAAGTTAATATCTAATTCAGTTTTGCAATGTTATCTCATCCATATTCCTGCCTATTGAGGCAAAACATGCTCAGAACATTCACTAATAGCTCTCGACCAATGAGACCGCTGTGCCCTGGAATTAATGATGCAAGATGGATATTTAAAGAACCATATAGGTCACATCGGAATACTAAAAGCCCTCTAAATGTCATAAAACGAACCTCCAACTTAGGATTTTATGTCATTTATGCTCTACTAATGCCTTTTTTCATGGTCAAGCTGCCATTTTGAAAACAAAACAGCAATTATCCAGATGAATTGTTGCTGCTGGAAATGGGAGGCATGTCATGGTATCAATATTTCAGATGAAGTCTCATCAAAAGTGCCAAACTGACGAGAACTCTGTCTGCCTTTCTCGTACCCTCGGCCTTATTAGAGGCAAACGGAGAGCACTGCTCGTATTGGCTCCGCTGCGCACTGGGGCCGTTGCTACAGACGCACAGCAGCAAAATGTCGTTCAGACTGGAAAGTGAATGTAAATGCCTGGGTTCCGTCCTCTCGCGATCCCCGTCCTCTCACCTTCTGTTAAGTCAAACGGGGGCGTCCCCTTAATGTCACTGACACACAACACAAATGTCTCTTTGTGGACAAAGCAAAGCGTCAAACTGTGGCTCAGTTTGATTCACTCGTCTTCTTCATGCACCCGCTGTACAAACCCAAAGTTACCCTGTGCTTTTGTCACAAAATGGAATATATATCAAAGTCTTGGTGTGCGTGTGGGTACAGCCACTGACGATATTGTGATAAGCTTCAACATGTCATTCTGGTTTTCCAGTGTATTGTTGCTGACATTTGGGAGGCGAAAGCTAAAAAGATTGATTGCAACATATTTTCGAGAAATCATAAAATACAACGATGGCTTACGTGTAATTGAGTAACGGCGACCATGAACTGAAGTGTGGGGACATCATTTTTCCCTGATTAGCAAATTAGCTTGTAAATCCCAAGTGTTTTGAGCTGAAGACGTAATGTCAGACAACGCGTTTTATGGCAAATACTGTACTGCTGACCGTAGTGTCTGTTTTAATCCTAATGAAATATCACATTCAGTATCTATCAATGTTATATTATATTGCTTCTGTGAGGAGCCAGGTCTATAGACAAGTCTAAACTCATTCTCAGGCCTCCAGCTGGAAACTGGACTCTTTTCTTTCCTCTGAGCTGTTTCATTTTACTGAGTCTGCTTTTGAAGGGGCTACAGTTTTGGCGTAGTGTTCCAGACCGTCAGATTTGGGTAAATTGATCCTGCCTCCCTGCTCTGTCCCGGAGTCCGGGTCTGATCAGGAAAAAAAAACATGACAGTTTGGCTAGCGGCCTTGCTAGAGAAATGATTTGTATTCAAAACTGCAATATTGCAAATTAGTATTTGAAGGTTCTAGAATGAGAAAAAAAGCAAGTCTCTCCCTTTGAGTTTCCATACAAACCTTTTACAAGCCCACAAAAGGGTATCGGACGCCTACAAGGCCAACCATCCATCGAGAGGGGGCATTCCGAGGTATTTCAGCCTAATCGGTCAGCAAGAAACGGACCCGGGCCGGCAGATCTGCGTGCATGTGTGTGCCCTTATATGCAGCGAGCGTGGTGAGGAATTAATCAGGACACACCCTGCTTCGCTATCCACAGGGGCCAAGAGGGGTGAAAGGTCAAACCCATTGGTCGGGCTGGGAGGACTGGTAGAGTCGCTTTAACCTCTGGCCTCTCAGTCAGCTGGACGAGGAGACGTCGGACATCTGGGGTCGAGTAGGTCGCTCTCTCTCGGCGTACCTCTTAACTGCCCTCCTTTCAACCGGGTGTTTTCCAACTGAATCCGAGCTAATTGACGGAAGTGTTATGATCAAGACGAATATGGACTGGGAGGGAATCGGCCAATGGAGATGCAGAGGGGGACTGCGTAATAGCCGTCTCCCCCCTCTTGCCTGGGGCCCCAGTGAAGATGTGGTGGACCCAGGGTGGACCCCAGACGCCACTCCATGGTTTGGCACGCTCTGCATTTCAGCCCTCTCACTGTTTCCAGCTGAACCCGCTCCCATGCAAACACATGGGCAACCGGTGGGATTTCTTATTTAGATGTTGGTCAAGAGTACTTCATTATATTAAAAAAGACAGGTCAACATATCATCGCATGCATGCCAAAATGATGAACCCCACACCCGCCAACCTCTGAAAAGGAACAGATACACAATGGGGCGATCTTGAAAAGGTTTGACTGACAGCGACTAAACTAAAGCAATACTGAATGAGAAGAGAGTAAGTACGGAGCAAGGAGGACAGCTACCGCCTTCAGGAGACTTCAAGGGGACATATTTCAGATGGACCGCGGCCCGTGATGCAGCGTAAAGCGCCAGCAGTGATGTGGCATACGACTTGCTCAGATTGATATGTCCTCCCTGCCCCAAATGCTCTCATCCCTGCCTCAGCTTTCTGAAGTTAAATAAACAGTGTGTCACAAGATCTTCTACATACCACCCAAGTGTTACAGCGTGTGCGAGAGTCTCCCTGTGTGTCCGCAGTGCATGCATTTACCCTGTGATTTTTATGCGCAATGGACACCCAGAGGCAGATCACGTGTGTTAGCGTGCACAGGAATGTGCGAGCTAGCGGGGGGGGGGGGGTTGCGTGTGACATGTCTGAAAAGACAATGGTGGGGCGACATATAAAGCTCGACACACACCGTCGCCGGTCTCGATCCTGCTTTAATAAAAAAAAGGGTTGGCCCATTTTAATTAAACCAAACGGGACGCTCCCCAGCCAGGCCTCGCCGATGAGCTATGTAGCTAAGGACAAATAAGACCATCTGTTAAAGGGTAGACATCAAATGCTTGCCTTTTTTTTCTTTCTTATGTCACCCTGGGCCCCGTGTTGACTTTCATTATTTCTAAAAATCCATCTGGAATTTTGATGGGCATGTTTTGAAGGAAAAGGCCTTGAAACCACAATGCAGGGATGCCTTGAAACAAAGGTCTCTGCGGTTTTGTCTGTTTTTCGTGGTGAACAACAGCCCGGCCGTCTCTGTGCTCCGATAGCTCATGTCTGTAATTTTAGTTTATGCCATCATTATTACAACACGTTAGCAATTTTTCATGACGTTTCTTGGAAATATACTGAATTGATGGCTTATGTGTTCTTTTAAGAAACTGAAGATCGTAAAATTTAGGGAGAAGAAAACGAGGTTCCTCTGATTTTTTTGGGACTAGCCAGACGAAGAGGAAAAAATCAGGATGAGTGTTTCGTTGTTAAGTTGTCTCGATAAGAAAAAGGGGGGGGGGGGAGTCCAGAGTGGCCTTGTCAACATAACTTTATTATATTCGTTGTGTATCTTCATTTTAGATTCACTCCTAACTGCAACCGTGGGGGAGTCTTGATTTCAAAAATATGATATGTTGGTTTTATTTAGTTAAATGGTACTAAATAAAATCTAATTTCATTTTTTCAGACTTTAACGCATTTCTCTTTAGTTCAAATCCTACAAAGAGCTTCCTTCTTATTTCATCCTGTCGAGGTTTTCACTGCATGTTTGACCACATCACTTCAGTGTCGTGTTGCCACCAGAGGGAGTCTTCCCATTCAAATAATTGCTCCCAAAGGAGTAAACTGTATTCTGAACATCTGCTCAAAATTCACATCATCTTAAATCAAGATCAAGAAATGGGAATATTAATGTTTTGTTTGTGTCCATGTTCTTCACTGTTAATCAAACCTCCCCAGGACATATTTATCATGACGCCAGTTCATTCTTATTAGTCATTATTAGTCATGCACATGTACTTTTGATTCACACAGCAGGGAAGCTATTTCTCTGTGTTTCACTTCATGGGGCTTACTGTTGTGGTGGAGCCCATCCAGGGAGCCCACTGGTGGGGCGATGCCCAGTGCTGCAGACAAAGCACCAGCCTATAAAGATGCCATTTCACATCGTTCCTTTTAGTTTTCAGTACAACAAATGCACGTGTTGAGCTCAGGCTGGAAGCCCTTCCCATTCCTATCCAGGCTGGAGGAGGAGAAGAAGGCGTGCAGCCCTTTTGTTACCTGTGTTACCTGGCTGTTGCAAGTCAGCAACATGGACTGCGTCTAATATGTCCTCAGACAATTGAAACGCCAGCGATGTACTGAAGCTCTTAAACTAAAAGAAACTCCACAGGTCTTGGCAGGACGCGACGGCTTTGTTTTGTTCTACCTGCGTGACGCAGCAAACGGGACTCCTGTTAATTAGGCTCCACCGTGCAAGTAAGGACGAAGCGGAGGCACTTCCTCCAAGAACTCGTTCACCTCACGAGTCCCACCTTCTCGCCGAGTTTCCATTTGGACTTCTTGTAGAACCCTTTCAGGTCACCATCAACATCTCACCTGTGCCGCCGCACCATGGATTGCACCCGGCCGAAGAGCTCGAAGGCGCCCCAGCTTAACGTCGCGGGAAAGCGGCGGTATCCGTGCATCTGGAAGGGTTAGGGAAGAAGAGCTCGAGCACTTGGTGTTACAGCGCATGGCCTCTGGACAAAGTGGGAACGACCATGCACAACCCCCTCCGACAGCGGAGTGTGTACGCGTTCCTGTGCTTTGGCATCATATACTTCAGACTCGGGTGAGTTTTTAATGAGATTTACACGCGCGCGCGATCGTTGTCTTCGCACGCGCCAAATTGTGACACATGAAAAGCTGCTTGTTCACCTCTTTACAGGCGAGCCAATGGTGCCCTCTGACCTCGGACGGTGGCACGATGGGACAAATTCCATTTGAACATTTAAAAAAATGCAATAATTAAACCTTAACGCCGGCACGTGCGTAAAGGTGTCAGATGAGGTGACGTCGATCCGGATTCGCTTTAAAGGAGCTATTTGCTTCACCTCGCGAGGCTCCTTTGTCGCGCACGATCACTTGAGATGCTGCCCCCCCCCCGCATATCTTCATTAATAGTGGCAGAGTGAGTTGTATTTCCACATTCCATCGGTCCAGACAGAGGTTGTTTTTTACCTGTTTTGCAACAGCTCACCTTGATGCATGAAATCTGCTCTGCTCTGCTGGGCGTACTGTGCATTAGTAAACCCGCTGTGCACACATGGGAAGAAGAGTTGCATGAAAATAATCCAATTGTGACCTCCATGAAACTTAAATGACATCCGTTTAGTTGACTTAAAAGCAGACAGGTAGTAACATCAAACTCCATCACAACATGTTTTTTTTTTCCTTTTCTCTTTTGGAACAAAATGTCATCAATGTTGCTTTAATTGTGCAAGAACCACAAACCCTTATTTGAATAACTGCAGCCAGTTGCCCAGAATGATTTAAGCCGTCACATGTGAACATTGATTACTGCTTTAGTTGGTACTTAAGTGCTTGGCATTTCTTCTGGATTACTGCAGTCACCAAACAAAACAAGTGTCTGCCCCGCCTGTGAGAGCTGAAGCGTGTAAATGACTTCAAGTTGCACAGATGCTCATATCACATGACACGGTGGGGGGGGGGGGGGGGGGGGGGTAGCTCATTCCTTCCATCCTTTCACTCTGCATGGCTAAATCTCTCATGGTACCTTCTTCCTTTACAATGACTTGAGCCCGCAGGTGTTGAGTGACATGACACGACGCTGGGCGATAAAAGCCCCCCCACACACACTTTTTTAGATCTGCTCGAATGCATGCCTTCCCCAACCTTCTCCATCTTGAAGTTGAGGACAACATGGCTTAATATGGCAGCTGGGGCGCAGGATGATCATTTGAAGGTTACAGGGCGCCGCAGACTGAACAGATGTTACAGACGCCTATAGCGATATTATAGTTTTACCACAGGAAAGAATAAGGTCCCTGAAACTCATACATTGCACCGCAAATATGCTTTATTTTATTTTTCTCAGGAAATGTTATAGGAAAGCATGTTGAAAGGCCACGTGATACCATTCCGGCCTTGAGAATTGTAGGAATATCCAATAAAGCCTTTTCTTTTCTGCAGGATAATGACGCTTTGCGCTCACTCTCACACATGCATGCGGATTATGAGAATAGTATCTGTCATAATAAATGGAATTTATTGCCATAATGTGTCACTAAATCATGGATTCAGAACGTCGCATCGTGCCAGAGAAAAGCGCAGTTTTGAAAAAGAGAAATGTGCACCAGGAGCTGTCATGACGGTTCTTGGCGCCGGCGTCCAGCTTCTCTGTCTGTTTATTTTTTGGGCTGGATGGTGGAGTAGCGGTGTGTGTGGGGGGGGGGGGGGGGGGGCTATTATGATAAAAAAAAACTCCCCCACGTCCCCCGGGGATCGGATCAGTGTCACCCCATTGTCCCACCGTGGCAAAGTGGGCGGATAGCAGTGTCTCTCCTTGCCCAATGGCAGGCACGACTCTCATGAGAGAGGAGAGAGGCACTTTTCTCTGCCATGCAGAATCCCTAAAAGCATCATCATTCCGGCTCGGGGAGCCACAGTACTGCGTAACAGCCTCCGCCGCTGAGAGATGACAGAGCCGATCTCAGCGCACACACGGCCCCGGGAGCTCGGAGCTGCGTAGAGCCGCCGCGCGGAGACAAGGACACTCACGGAACCTCGGGGTTTTTTTTTTCAATTTCGTGAGAAGGGGACTTAAAACCGGGAATAAGGGGGTCTTTTTCTCACCCCGTCCGCGTCGCCTGACTCTATCCGATCGTGGGCATTTGTTCAATGTCATCATGATCATCTTCTCGTCGCGCAGCGTACTGCTGTCTGTCTATTATCCACAGATCTTCCTCATCCTGACGAGTGGCAGCTACCTGTAAGTGTGAACCAATGAACTAGTGGCTCCTTAATTAACTCCAAGGAGAGCGCGCGCTCGTCTTGACAAATGTTAACACGCACGTTTTTGTTGAATCTCCCGTGCAGCTTCCCTCATTAAACGCAGGTATCTTTATTTCCGCGCATCCACGTTTCCAGGCGCTGGTTTTGTGTCTTTGCGGCTGTTATGCGGCGCGGAAAAATACAACTTATCAGTAAATGAGATTTGATCCAAAGTCAGACTCCCCATCAGTGGAAACGACCCACGTGGGAATAAACTAATTAGGTGAAACCCTGAACGCACTGCGGCGAGTGCGCAGTGCTGGTGTGTCTCTAGCTGTAAATATTGTGCATATTTGACACGATGCGCAGACTTTAGTTTGACTGCTACGGGGATTCGTTTTGGCCACAGAGTGGCAGAGATGTTCAAGACAATCGGGATCTGTGCGCCTGCCTTTTTCTTTCCGTTTTGCGCGTGAAAGCAGCACGGTCCACCTGTGGGAGTGTATGAACGATCATCTGTGTGCATGTCCTCATCTCTGGTAGCATTTACATATTATCATCTCATTATTATACATCTTTAGAAATATGCAGTTGATTGACACCTTCGCTTTGAGTTAAACGAGGAGAACACCGGCTTTAATAAAGCGTCCGGAATAATTACTCACCCATGATCCCTTGCTCTTTCCTCTGCTGCCTGGAGACCCCAAACCTGATGCTGAAATAGATGTGGTTTTTGGTTTTCCGTTAAAAGTGGGCTTTATGCTTTAAATATAGCAGTGGTATTATTATTTAAACTACATGCCATTGTTTGCTTTAGATTATTTGAGTGTTTTTTTTTGTCGAGCATTAACCACAAAATACATGCTTCAAGTAGAACCGTTATATTACGACTTGTTCAAAAATAATGCAGTGCCCTGTCTCAAAGCTGATGTTTTGGCTGCAAAATTGGTCCAGTTGTGGATGACAAACGGAGCTGAAGGATCTGACCATGTGGAGCCTTTCGGCCGATCACACACCTCTCATTCTAACATGCAGGGACTTCACATTTAATCTTACCAAAATAACCGATAAACCAAATAATGGATCTACACAGAAGCAGATGTGAGCATGTTATGAATTCAACGTCTTCAGTGTACCGAGCGTCTTATTTTTAAATGAGCAACAGAACAGGAAAATTATATTTAGCACGAACACAACAGTTGGAAAAAAAGGAGCATTTATTCACTTGGTTCAGTCACGTTGTGTCAGTTTTGAGAGTGCATTCCTCGGTGGAAGATGCATGCCCGGCAGCTTAATCGTGTGTCAGTTGTGTTCAAAGTGCTCCATGTGATGGAGGAGGTGGCTGTGAGCACGCCGCGTGCAATGACGTAGACAACAGTTTCTCCTGAAGCCAAACTACCCTGCGATGGGATCTGCTCACGCCGAGGCCGCTTTGATTGGTTTGTTTAAAAAAAAAAAAACTAATATGCTGTGACTGTGGTCAAACTGGGAGGCCTCTGTTTCTGTGACGTTTCCCGTCGGCTGTTCAGTGTGATGCGTTTTCTTCTGATTCAGACAGCGAGCCACGTTTATTCTAAGATAAAGACAACTATAATAAGTCTTCTGTGGGCCTCAAAGCCGGTGTGCATGACCAGTAAACTAATGGTCATCGAATCCAGCCGCTTCGCATTTGATTCAATTCACATTTTCTGTGCACGGCAGAAGAAATCCTGCCACCTGTTGCTCAGTAATGACCTAAAGGAAACTACTGGATCGGCTGCTGTGAAGACACCAGCGGTTACTCACACACTGCCCTTTGCATCCATCTATATATAAGAGCGCCAACACATGAACTCATAGTTTAGAGCCGCTGTTGGCCGCCTATCTGATGGCAGATCTGTGACCGTGCGCGAGCTGTCCCCGGCCCGCTGGCGTACACGCTAAGCAAACACAACCGCATCTGTGCACTTTGATGATTTCAAGGATTTAAAAGCTTAGCTCTGGAATTCTGTGTCTGGCGTTGTCTGATGGTTGCCTGTGGTGGACCGCGTACTAGCAGGTGAATGACGTGAGAAAAAGAGAGGGGGAGGCGTTGGGAGTTCAGTCGGACAAAACGTGTGCATTGGTGGTGCACTGGAAAATCAGAGATATAAAAGACTCCGATGTATTTTACTGCCTTTGGTTTACACAAACAAACCACTTCCATTCAACCGAAGCTTTTTTGTTATGCAAGACAGCAAACTCCTCCAGTTGCACATTATTTGTCTTAATGAGCACGATCCTTTTAGTTTGCACAGACTTCACGTCATTGTTGCCACGACAACATATACAGCAGAGGGTCACAGGGGTTCAAGCTTAACAGCAGTAAGACGGAAAGAGTGTTTCCTGCCCACAATGAGCGCAGCTGATGAATCTCCAGTTGTTGTGCTCCTTTGGATTTTGGATTTGACGGCCTAAGAAGCTAAATGACCACGGGGCGTGAATGTCTGGATCTTCCGAGCAGGCTTTGCCTGCTGATGTAGTCCTCGTCCTGGTAACGGATCCCCCCCGCCGCATTGTCACGGCATGTTTTGGAAATTGAGAATCACGTTTTTCCGTCTTTGTCGAGAAGCAGGAAAGGGAGCACGATTGTCCACAGGGCGATGTGATCAATGACCATATCTGCCCTCAGTCATGGGTCTCCCACCAAGGCCTCTGTGAACCAAGATCCTCACCAACTGTTGTCTGTTCTCACACACACACACACACACACACACACACACACACACACACACACACACACACACACACACACGCGCGCGCGCGTTTTGTGTTAGTTTGCCCCGTTTGCGGTGAAGCCTCTGGAGGTCGCTGCCGTTTGCCTCCATGCTCGTTTACGGCTCCTCGTCCCCGACGTGTTTGAAAAGTACGTATCGACATGGTTTAAACGAGGGCTCGCGGAGGGATTCGTTCAGCTGTGATCTGTTTGGGCTTTCTCCGTGGTTACACAGCCGTCCTAAACACATGTTTGGATGTTATGAGAAGGCGTGATCAGATGTAACGGCGCCTCTGTGGGGAGAACAGAGTAGGACGGGTGTCATTCACAATGCAGCACATGAATCTCCTGCAAATTGGAGCGACTAGTGTTGAAAAGCTTACATATTTTCCATGCAAACCAATATTAGGATGTGGCTAAAGTAAAAACAGTCTCTCGTAAAATTTATAGGCAGCACTTTACACTCCGAAGTGCTTTCACACATGATCGCACAAACCATGAAGACGAATATTTTGTGTGACATTTGTTTCAAATTTGAAGCCTACATCTATGCAATGAAATACTGAGCAAGTGTGTAAGTCCGGCAACCCTTCACACAACTACGTTACCTAACAATTAACAAGAAAACACTTTTATGTATTTCGGTGAGACTTCCACCATCTAAACCCATGTGGAGTGGTTCTACCGGGAGTCAAGTAAGCATCTTGTTTTCTCATTGTGGCAAAGTTTACCCTTTTTTTGTTGCATGTTGACCTCTAATCCAGTAAATAGCCATACAATGATGTAGTGCAGCTTTTCACATCGCTGCAGAACGTGCATCAACATAAATCAGTCAGACCGACCATCCTCTGGTCCTAACCGGGTCTGCGTGTCCGTGAATGTGTGTGTGTCTTTGGCAGGGCCCTGTCCTCGGTGGTGGCTCTGGGCGCCAACATCATCTGCAACAAGATTCCCGGGCTGGCACCTCGCCAGCGGGCCATCTGCCAGAGCCGACCGGACGCCATCATCGTCGTGGGCGAAGGCGCCCAGATGGGCATCAACGAGTGCCAGTACCAGTTCCGATATGGACGCTGGAACTGCTCAGCGCTGGGGGAAAGGACGGTCTTCGGTCAGGAGCTGCGAGTAGGTCAGTCTGGGTTCCCTCATAAAATGGGAAAAGGCGCAGTGTACGTTTGGGTTTGCATGTGTATGTTCATTACAAGTTAGTTTTTGTGCAGTCAAAGGGTTAGTTCTTAGGGAATTATTTAAATTAGAGAGGAATTGTAAGGATTACAGGTATAGGGACCCAAAAGCACAACTCCGAGGCAGAATCCAATCAAAAGTTCTTTACTGATACAGGCAGGGTCAAAACCGGGATAGCAGTCCAATGGGCAAACAAAATCCAGAGGGACAGGCAGGGTTCAGAAACAGGACGGCAATCCGACAGGCAAACCAATCCAGAAAGGGCGCAGGCGAAGAGTTCGTGGTCAAGAGAAGGCCGGCTAGGTCAGGTCAGGTCAGGACGGGACGGGTCGGGACGGGACGGGATGTCAGTAATCGGAAAACCGCTGGAAAACTTGGCATGCACACAAGACAATCTGACAGTGAGCAACAGAATGTGACGGGCTTAAATAGTGAGTGACTGACGAGGGGAGGCACCACAGGTGAGGGTGAGGAGAACCAGGTGCAGGAAATCAGGTGACGAGGTGGGAGGATCTGAAATGACAGGAGAGTTAGTGAACATGCAGTGAAGATGAAGAATAAACTATGATGTGGGCGGATGTGTGACAGGAATAGCACTAAATAATCCACAAAAGAAGTGTATCCATCACACTGTACTTTAGTGTTTTTATTTTCAGACGAATTGGCAATCAACCCGCCAATCAACGCCAAAAAAACACGCAACATGCTCAGATTTAAGATCTCCCACTAGATCTCACATATTCAAGAAAATGCCTTTCTAAAATCAAGCCACATGTTTTGGATTTTACATTGGAAAATATTTGGTGTTACATGATTTGAACACTTGAGTTAGAAGGAAATAGGCTCCAAGGACACACTGGAACAAACAAACTGACATATACACACTTTTTGTGAAACCATTTAATAAAATCACGTTCTTTGCAACTTTGAAGCTGAACAAGTGGTACATTTAAGGGGAACATCAAGGTGCATGAGGCTAATGCTTGGAATCCTGTGCACGGGATGAGATCATTTATTGAGAATAATTATTAATGAAAGATATTATAGAGTATGCGTTGTTTACAGCCGATCATAACATGGATCAGAGCCGCATGCAATCGCTGATAGCTCTTCATGTTTTAAGCCATCCCATTTTCTGAAACAGTAAAAGAGGAGTATAAAAAACGTGGTGCCAACCCCCAACCTTCTGCGCACCATGAAATATGGCTCCTCACAAGCCAAAACCGAGCTGCACACATCACACAGTCAGAACGCAAACCAGTAACACACACCCCTCTTTGACTCTGCATTGTGTAACCGTTCATGTTGGCATTGCTGAGGAGAACTTCACATATTCCAGCTCATCTTAGTCGTCCTCCTCTCAGTGGACTGTGTTGCATTTCTCCAGTGAGCTCTGGTTTCTGTGCATGTAGGTTCTGTAGCGAGACCATCGCAGGCCACGCAGAGTTATGGAAGAGTCACCGAAAGGCGCTGGAGGCGTAACGGGGAAAACGAATGGCTGAAAAGTAATACTGCAAATAAGGAGACAACTAATGGTGCGATTGCAGAGAGCGCCCTTTGAGCCAAAACAGATGGACACATCTGTTGTTAATTGGGATAAATTGGTGGTGTCCATGCTCGGCTGTGCACATACAGCACTACGGACAAACATTTACATTTACGATGCTTTTGTTTGAGAGTTTTACAGGAACTTTTATAGATTTCCTTTCATTTAGGAGATGCTTTGTTGCCGTTACGTTGCGGTCGGGCTGTCCATTTAATCCAGTGGCTCTGTTAACAATCACTCCTCTTTGAGGAGTAGCTGAATCTCTCCAAAAGCATTTGGACTTTGTTGTGAATTCTGGGGCTGTTTTCTTCTACGCCTTTTCTCGTCCTTTTTCGCCGTAGATTCTTCAGAATGATATTAGACAATGGTTCATCAGAAGCATCTGTGCGTCTTCTCTGTATTTTTGTTGGATTGATTAATATGCTAAAAATCTTCACTTAGCGATTCTAATTCTCACAGTTCTTGATTCCACGTCGACGTCCTAGTGGCTCTTCTTGTTTGGTTTCCATAGTCCGTCGGCACAATGTTCCCCCGCTGAGGACATGACTGTTGGTGTCCAGTTCTGGTCGGAGAGTGATGACTGCTGGGCCTTCCATGAGTGTCCAATGATGACGGGACTTTGTGGACTTCTCAAAAAAGTTTTCCAACGATGACGTCCTCTTTTAGGCCGAAGCAGCACTCTGCTCATGTGTTCCCATGACAGATTCACACATAAAAGACATTATTGGCTAGAGATGGATGATTTTATGTGTACTTCCTAAATTGGGTGTCGTCGGCTCACTCACAGAACCATATCTTGATAGTTGTTAGAAACTCAAGTAAACAGATTGACTCCTCTGCACAACAGCAAGTGTTTGCCCCGATCGGTAAACTCTCTTGCTTTCGTGGTTGTGCTGTTGGATGATGGTTTTTGAAGGTAACGCAGAAGTTCTTAAAGCATTAAGGACAAAACAAAGTGAGTTCAAGAACATGTTTTGTATTTGAATGATATTTCTGTCATTGGAGGCACTGGCTGGAGACACATCCAAACAACACGCACGCGATCACACACAAAAAGTATTGTTTGATAAATGTGTTTTCGATAAAACCGCGGTGACAAAAGTTCAGAGATGAACAATGAATTCACTCACTGACGGGAAGATTAGCTGCACAGAAAGTGAAGCTTCATTGAATTGACTTGAAGTGAATTCATAAATCCCCTAACCACTGTCCATTGCGTCATTCTGGAGACATGAAATATGACAATCCGCGTCTTATCGTCTTCTCTTCAGCTGGCGCGGTTATTTCAATGTTCTATGAGTGAGTTATGAGTTTAATGTCAAGCATTTTCAGGAGTTCAAATAAATAAATAATCCAATGATAGATTACAACTTCATCACAGAGCTTCTGTGAGTATTTTATGTATTGGCTTAAAGATCATCGTTACTGATCACTGCGCATTTGGATTTATATGACAGAAGCACATTACAGGTCATTCATCTGACGCTTTTATCCAAAGCGCCTTACGTTACGTGGCTTATTACAGTTCTGCCCGGGGAGCAATAAGGGGTTAGGTGTCTTGCTCAGGGACACTTGGACATGGAGCAGCCGGGGCTCGAACCACCAACCTTGGGATTCGACACACTTGTTCCTTAAGTCACTTACAGTATTAATTAACCATCAGCTGATGGACAAACTGTAAGAAGTTGAACTCTGCTGCTGCTCTAAAGTCGAACCCGACGATGAGCCGAACGCCGGCGTGAAGTCCGGACGAATACCAAGCGCCCCCCCCTGCTGTGGGCGGGGAGGCTGGTGGTTCTCGTTCAGTTTAGCAGCGTTCCACTAGGTCACCGCGGGAGACCACACAAGCCACAGCTACTGCAGAACGCCGCTGTCGATAGGGGGGCCGCTTAGCGTTTTTCCTCTCAACACCTCGCTGTGGAGCTGCCATCCGCTGGCCCGCAACCTTCCCAGTTGGGATAGTTTCCAGTACTCGTTGCTGATGATTGAAGATGTAACTATGTTTTTTCATCATGGGATTCTCTATGAAATCATGGAAGACAAACCTCTTCAGCAAAATGTTCCAATCCCTTCTACAAATCTGCAAATTCCCACATCATCATAATCAGCAGGGGAAAAGATATTCCCGTTCTGCTCCCATTTAAGTTTTTCATTCAAATCCCCCAAATTATGAACACTAAACCTTTCCCGCTGCTCTGTGATCCAGTCTCCGTCTTTGCGCCGGGGGGAGGAGATGTCGGCATTTCTTCGAGAACTGAACATGAGCCGACCGCGAGTCTAATGCCTTCGCTCTGTGCCGAGGGCTCCGGGAGGCGGTCTCTCTGCTCTGGCCCTTTTCCACGGTATTACATTCGCTTTCCAAGACAGCGCGCATTAATAGTTGGGTTATTGAGCGTTACGGAGCCTGAGATATCTTCATTCAGCAGAGGTGATTCCTTTTCAAACGGGGATGATGGGAAATTCATTTCACTCTTCTACCCTAAACAGAAACAAAAGTGTATTCAGCTCGGTGGATGGCTTCTGCTTGCCCGTTATGCTTACTCGCCAGGCTCGAGGGCACATGGGTAAAGATGGAAAAAGGAAAGCATCCCCTTTCTTCTTCGCAGATCAATCCCTCTGCAGCTCATCTGTTTTTGCAGAGATCCTCGGCTCCCTCTTTACTCTCTAATTGACAAATTGGAGAAGTGCGTCTCCGTGTCCTCTGCAGTCCTCTCCATGTGCCCGGCTACGGTGTCGGCATGAGCTGGTGCCTAAAAAATGTGGAATGAATTATCCCGTGCTAACAGAAACGGGTGTTATTGAGTGGTTTGTTGGAGTCCGACCAGGAGGAATAATGAAATTATTACAGAAGAACAGGGCGCAAACACTGTGATACTCACACACTGCGTCTATGTTAACGGTTGAGGTAAAGGGCAAAGATCGCTGAATGGATCTAAGACACGTCCACTTATTACCTGAGATTTGTAACTGGAACCACACGGGGCTTTCGATGTACTTCGTCACACCTAAATAGGCATAATAAAAATGGCATCAAGAAATCACAGCCCCGGGATCAGTCTCTGACAGAAATATTTAAGACAGAATGATTCATCCGGCTCGATCACGATTGCCATCCTGACGGATTTGTCTATGTTTAGGTTGGTGTTGTTGTACATTTGTACTTTTTCCTTCTTTAATGTTACGTTTTGACTTGATTGACATCTACCATCAGACATTCCTCCGGTGAACCACCTGTAATAGAGATGCCCTTCACGTTGAAGACCTGCTTAGGAACACCTCACGTCTGTGTTCAAATGGCAATGCTCTTGATGTCGAAGATTAGGGCTTGAAAATGGACACCTTTCAACGGCTCCACTCAGCATCAAAGAGCCGCTCTGGCCCTCCTGTCATAAAAAGGC